TAAAAATAGAAGGGAAAAAAACCTCAATCTGCCCCTGCCACCCAACTCACCCCCCACCCCGAAAAAAAAAACTAAACTACCCCCTCAACTCCCTCCCGCCATGGCCATGGCAATACTCCCTACTAAATCCTATTCTGAACCTAGCCTATCCACCTAGCGTCCTATCAACCCATCTGTACAGCCCCATCGCGATGTAGGTTGGCTTTTTTGGGGGGAGGGAGAGGGGCAGGGGTGGTGGCAGGAATAGATTTGGGTGGGAAGAGCTCCCTCGTGAGCTTAAGATTGAGTGTTCAAGTGACAATGTACTGGATTGCTCCCTGCAGCTTGTTGGTGCTGCCTTACTAGAATTGTAGCAATGATTCTGTTTATGTATACTCAATGGGACAAACACTGCCTGCTTTTTGTTTGGCCTTTGACCTTCTATGGTAGCCTTACTGATAACACCAGTGTCTTCTTGACCAAACACCCGATGGGTGGTATTTTTCTGAGAAAAATAAATTTAGAATAAAATCAGCTTGAATAGCTAAATTTTTAGTTTTAGCTTTATTTGTTTTACAAAGAATTTTACAACACTTTCAACACAAAAAGGTCATATGTGTGCTGTAGATTAGAGGTGTTACAAGAGAGTAATAAACACAAAAAAGAAGGAGAGATAAGAACGATAGATGTTTGATAGGAAAGAAGAAGCAAAACCAATTTTGAGTAATTGAAGAATAGAACATTGATGTAGTGGTCATCTTTTTTATTCACGAAGAAAAGTAAGTCAACAGGAACAAAGTAAACGTTTAATTCATTGGTATGTTTTCAGGAACCATTAGACAGGACCCGGGGAGTTTTCGAGAGACGGAACCTATATGTAAAAAATGTTGACCCAATTGGTATTCTAAATTTGCAGTCATATCTTAAACCTTCAAAGGCTCTGGGCTCTTTGGCGGGTAAGTAAAGTTGAATTTAAAGACAATTATGCAATTACCTATGAGTATCAAAAATATACAAGAAAGAATTTGATTAAATGCATTAAGCAGAGAGACAGTGCGAGAGGGAGAGACATAGAGAGAGGGGCGGAGAGAGGGGGAGAGGGGC